GTAAAATAATAGTAAACTTAACATTTTAATTCATTAAATACGGATATTAAACGTGTTATACGGGTTTTATACGTGTTTAGTACGGGAGCCATCAAATGAACGGAAACAAATGAAACGGCTTGACAATAATACGGATACGGAAGTTTTAAGCAGATATAATACGTACGGGTACATATACGTGTATTAAACGGAGTATTTACTAACTATGATATGGACTAGATAGCTTATAATGTTGCATAGCTGACGACAATGGTGTAAGTGTTCAAAAACATATCCAGTATGATTTGGCGGGCGATGATCGATCATATCTGCAATGTTATTGGCTTCAAGAAAGATGTTATTTGCATTGTACGACTCTGGAAGAGTAATACGAGAGTACGTCGATGAGGTCGCTTCCAAATATGTGCAGGAAAACAGTGGAAGGTATATAGAGTGGTCAGTAGAGTAGACATGAGAAGCTAGCCAGTTATGAATATGATGAATCTGTGTCTAGAGCTTACCCTTCTAGTTCTAGGACTAGTAATCCAAGGTCCATGGGCATATAGCTGATAAATGAGTCATGGAATGAATGGCTTGTGAAAAGAAAAGAACGTGGGTTTTAATAGTGTCTTCTTGTATCCAAAACAATCATTCCAGGCTTGGGCGGAACATGCTCTCAAGACCTCATAGAACTCGAATTGTTTTTTTATTATTATTACTAGCGTGGCCCCGGCCAGTTGGCCGGAGAAAGGTGAGATATAAAATTTGATAATATAATGCGGCGTATAGCTTATTGTTGTATAGTTCTTTTTGGGAAACCCGTGATAAAAATAGTGAATTTTAGTAAGAAAGTGACATGAATTATACAACGAATCAAAAATCAGTCTTATGAACCAAAATCAAGTACCTGTTACCTTGTGAAACAATATTGTTTCTGGTAATATGATGAGGTGGAGTAAGTTTTATAGAAACCGAATTCTAGAAAATCAAATAAAAAATTGCCAATCTCGCGGTTTTCGGGAAATGAGCATCTCACAATCGTTGATGGCTTTTACTCGGCCCGTTGGCCGATTAATTTGCTTTATAAAACTTTCATTTTGTCGTCATTGTGCTTTATGATTTTTTCCAGGCCATTATAAAATCTAAAGAAATCAAGAATGAACAACACGATTTGGGACAGGAACCGCGGTTCCTGTATCCCTATAAAATGGTGGTAAACACGGACTCACTTGCCAAACTAGTTTGAATTGAGATTTTTATCGGGTATCAGGCAACCATGTGATTATAAATTAGAATTGATCAAAATGGGCCAAAACTTGAAATTCAACATGTTTGACCGACCCATGCCAAACTCTAATTATTCTTTACTTTTAAACTTTCTATTTAAAAATAAAATATAGTGAAAGGAAACTGAAAATGTTTAGAATCGTTTTAATGTTAAAAATAACCAAATAGATCTTTCTGTTTAGTTTTTTACTAACAAATACCAAACGATTCCCTATAAAATACACTATAATTTAATCATTATGATATCAAATAATTACATAATATATATTTGAAATTATAAAAATTGGACTAATTGGGTTGGTCGAGGTTGAACCATTGAATAACTTTAAAATACATCATCTTTTAGCCACTAAGATATAAAGTAATAGCACAATATATATTATGCTAGAGAAAATAGCTTGTTTTAGAATGACAAACCCATGATTTTCATTTGTTTTACTTGATGGCCAAATCCCGTGTAGGTCAAGCTCATTCAACTCTTTTATTTTTATGGTTAGCGGTTAGCCCATTAGAATCCATGCATTAGTTTATTGTTAATTTTTTTTATTTTTAGCAATAAGAAGGAGTATTATTTTTTCCTTTTCATATATATTCTACCACCACAGAGAAAATAAAAGGGCTTAAAGAAAAAAATTGACACTCCTTGACCCTTTTAAATCCGCATGTGTACGGTAAGTTGGCCCTTTCCACAAAGGAAAAAATAAAAATTGACACTTCCTATTCTACCCTTCCTACAAACACTCTTGGAGCAGGGAATTTGAAATGGGGGAAATGTTTTTTCCTCTCTACTATTGTATGTTTTTAATTTAAAAAGATACAACAAATATACTTAGTGTGATTGATTATGATCTTTGCTTTTCTTTAGAGTGGTCATGGTTCGAATCCTACTACGAGACCAAAATTTATTTCCTACTTTCACTCTCGTTGCATCAAATTTGAAATGGAGCAACAGTTTTCCCCTTCCTGCTATTATATATTGTGTGGATTATTATTATTATCTACAAAATATTATAAAGGCAAAACATGGGTTGCATTTTCAGCATTTTGAATTTGCTGGCTGGAGAGTGATTTACGGAAGGGCAGTTTTGACATTTGATCCATTTAAATGATGGTGTGCGTTTAATAGACACAAGAATGGAGGTGCAGTGCTTCGCAGCCGGCCAGGATAAAAATTTGGGCTCATTTTCTTTTTTGTTTCTCAAGCCCGCCTACTCTCATGGTTTGAGAAAATATATTAGTCACGTCTATCATCTTATTGCAAGAAAGAAACAAATAGCTAGGTGAAAAAGCAACTTAAACATATCAGTATTCAACCAAAGCAAAATTAGCTCATCCTACAAATAATATAAGGAGGTTCTTCTTGAGAACTCCTCCAATCCAATTTTGCTGGCCGTTGCGCACAATCCGGAAGGATTTTTTAGTCTTTTTGTTTATTTGGGTGCTGTTTCGGTACTCTTTGGTGGGTGTGTTTTTAACAGGCAAATTCATTTGAGGTATAAATAAAAATCTTATTAACTTGAGCTGCTTACGTTTCTTACTTTGGGTCTTGGGATATCCATACCCATTTATCGGGTCGGGTTCACGACAGACAATTTATTACAGAACACATATCGGAATAGTTCGATTTATTACAAATCTTAAGAGTGAACTTTTATTTTGAAAGATAATCAAAGATGAGAAGAACACATCTCAAACAATTAATACAAATAACTTGGATGCGGTAAATTTATTTTGCGTGATAGTGATGTTTCATAGTTGCATAAGTTTTGTCTTCAAATTTGCTAGCAATGAAATGAGGAGAATGGCAAAGACCCTTTAGATTGTGGAAGCAATGGAGTCACTGATACATATGACGACGTTATTAAGAAGACGGAAGAGATATTTGACGGTGGAGATAATACATCCGATGATGAAGATAGTTATGTGTTAGTGGTTAAGAAAATGTCGATGTTGATGGAGACCAATGGAAAAGACGCCAAACAAAATTTTCTCTAATGTGTGACACGCATAGTGAAATGAAAAGTAATTTGATTAGTTTCTTTGGAATCCAGATCCCTTGCTTTAGTTTTGGTTTTAATTTTAATAAGGACTTTCGTAGATGGCTCACTTTGATTGTTGGAAAACTCTATGGTGCATGTCGAATTTTTATTTTTTCAAGTTATTGAATATTTGAGATTCTTTTATGTTGTATGTTGTTTTGTTAATATCTGTAGTAATTGAAAATTTTGGATTCTTTTATGTACCGAGTAAATGGTTCAAGTAATTACTATTATTTGATATCAATAAAGAGGTATTCTGCTTTGTACAATTACCATTGTTATTTGTACCATTTAATGAAATGTATCCGGCCAATGGGCCGGGTCCAATATCTAGTTCGGTTTATGTAATTGATGTTCTCCGTTATCAATTTGTTTCATTCCAAACCAATAATCAGAATTCTAACCCGAACTCCAATTATCAGGGCCCCACCGGACTTTGTATTACCACTCTTCATAAAGCCCCAATTCCAATACCCAGGCCCATCCCCATCCATCTATAAGCCCAACTTCCCAAGGACCTAGACAAACACTCGAGCCTGACCCATTTCTCACTCCCTTTGAGCCTGGACGCCGGTTCTGATAACAAGAGCCAATCCCAATCTCCATTTTAATCGAAAAAATCGGGAAAAGGAAAAGATAAGGAAATATTCATAAAAAAAAGAGAAGGAAATGCGAGACCCAGTCCGGACTTAGGTAACCAGAGCGTAGAGCGAGAGCGGGAGCGAGAGCGTAAGTGCGTTAATATTTAAAGAATTCAATATTGACAGCGTGAACAAAGCGTCAATATTATAATATTATATATTAATTATTTTGTAAAATATATTATTTAACAATCTCAATAGATACCCACTACTACTTTCCTACGACGCCAGCTTCCCATTTTAGCCAGCAAGGACTTATTTGCAATTTCATTTAATTCAACTTTAAATAAATAAATTAAAACTAGTAAAAAGTGTAATGGGATGGGAGCGAGTAAATTCACCATGACCATCCATTTTCCCCCAAAACAAAACGTATATCCATTCTCATCTCTCTCCACCTCTGGCGAAATTTCCCAATTCCAAATTCTTATCCGGAACCATCCATTCTCAGTCCCCAAACATACCATCGACTTTGTTTTCGTCTCCACCGCGACCGACGATTCAAGTGTTCATCCCCTGTCATCAACTGCATGTCGTCTCTCTCCCACTCTAGATCCGTCGGAGAGTTGTGGACTTTTCACAACACGATCTTCGTTTTGGGTCCTTTGCTTTTCTTTTCAGATCTGTCTTAGCGCATCCTCGAGATTTTTGAGCTCCAACGACGACTTGGGATCCTCTGGAGTTTCAAAAGTTCCAATTTATTCTTTTGCCAATTGAATACTGATGTCAATCTATTGTCTTCTTCGTCTTCGATTCAATCGATTGTTTTTCTACACCCTGTCCGACAGCTACCATCCTCAAATTGGGTGTTAATTTCTTGTTTTGTTGTTGCTTGGAAAAGAACGCGCTCTAAAAATAAGAAATCGAGCTCTGTGAAATAAAAATTCGCGTACTTTCTGCGAATTCGGAAAAATCCGTCTTTCAGCACTCTCGAGCGGGAGCGCAAGGCCCAACCCAACAAATTGGGTGACCTAAGTCCGGACCCTGGAATACAGACATACCCAGCTGACCCAAACTGTTGCGTTCAAGAACAGAAAAGGGAAAATTTTCGAAGATGGGGAAGACGGTGGCTCTCAGGTCTCTATATCGTGCAGCTTCTCATAGATCTTCGATAGGCTTGTCATCTGTCGCCGGCAACCAGCTTCTTCACCATCAATCAGCTCCTCGATCCCTGTTCACTCTCTCTTCCGCCACCGCTTCTGCGGATCGCTTCGCCTCCGGCATGGCTCTTTTCCACCCATACTTCCGGTTATGGTTTTGGGCGCTCTGAGTAGTTATTTGGTTATCGATTTCATCATCACGCTTAGAGTTATTTTCTAAAACCTAGTTGGGGCCTTTTAAATTTCTCGGTCGATTTGGGAGCAAATTTGGTGAATTGGGTTGAATGAATTTGCCTAATAGGGAAAAGAAGCAGTAGCCTTATCTGAATATTTTCGTTCCCAATTATACCATTCTGCTCAGCTTATCCACGATGATTTGAAACTGAGGAAAAGTTGTTTCTTGGTCCTTTGTTTCCCATCTGTAGTTATTTAACATCTATCCCATGTTGTATATTCAGAATTGTAGGCTTTATCGCTTTACAAATTGTTAGCATACTAACAACATCGCCTGATATGTGTGAGATGAATTTTCATTGGTATCTGTGTCCAGCTGCTAGAAGTGAACCAGCTACTGTCGTTGATTTTATCCACCAACGTCTGTCTATGTGAAGTTGATGCTACCTTGGAATGATAGTTCATCACTCTTTTAACACGTCTTTTCCATGCTTGTTGTTAGGTTCCCGGTCCCATTTGGCTATCAGCATTGGTAGTAAAAGGTCTTATAGTGAGGATGTAGCACACTTGCCCGAGATTAAGGACCCTGATGTCTTATGTGCTTTCAAGGACTTGATGACTGCAAGTTGGGATGAACTTGATGCGACAGTCGTCCATGATGTAAAGAATGCTCTGTCCAAGAACACTAATGACAAATCCGGTCAAGAGATACTGAAGAATATTTTTCGGTCATCTAAAGCTGTCGAAGAATTCAGTGGGATGGTCATATCTCTAAAGATGGAGCTAGATGACAGCATTGGGATGACCGGCGAGGTATGCTCATGGTTTTTTATTTGAAATTCTTAGTTCTATATTTTGTATTCGTCAAATGGTTCCTGAAGGTTAATAATAGTTTGTAAAAATGTGTGGCACAGGATGTACAACCGCTAACCGATGATTATGCAAAGGGAATCCGCATGTTTTTTGAATGGTACTCTGCGTATTTGGAGTCATTTGGACCTGATGATGCCTATCTAAGAAAGAAAGTAGAGATGGAATTGGGTTCAAAGATGATATTTTTGAAGATGAGATGTGCTGGCCTCGGATCAGAGTGGGGCAAGGTATTATGACTTGCTCAATTTTACTGAACGCTAATTAACTGAAATTTATGATTTAGATTATTGCTCCCTCAATCTAGCACCTTTTGCTTTTATGGGTTTCTAGGGATGTTTTCTTTCCATCTGTTTTGTCTCAAAATGCTTCATGCATTTGCATATTGGTATCATCTTCTTTTTAGCGAGATTAGCTCGTCATGGCTTTAACATTTTAATGATGGTATCTGATTTGAATCCCAGGGCTTACTAGCTTTTATCTTTTCACTTGTGCCTCTTAACCTGTACTTGGCTGTACTTTTATGCATATTTTGAAAGCAAGCCTAAATCACTTGTTCCTGTTTTTGCAGGTGACCCTGATTGGTACTTCTGGACTTGCTGGATCTTATGTTGAACAAAGAGCTTAAAGTCCCGGAATCTGTGATCCAATTAGGCTTAGTTGCAAAAGTTTTTTTAGCTTGGAATCTGTGTTTGTCGATGGTTTCTATCAAGTTGCTGATCTTGGAAACCTTTTAAATTGGAGTTCGATTGTAGTTCAATAAAAGCTTAGCTATTTCAAGATTTGCATTGATGTAATGTTGCTCACATAATTTCAGTTCCATTTAGCTGTATTTCACTGGAAGCAAAGGTTTCTTCAAGCAAATAAGGTCGTTAACTTTTTTTCTTGTGTTTGTGTATTATATCATCCAAGTTGAAAAATGATTGGTATAAAAATAAAAAATAAAAGATATGTAGCTGTAATCCTGGTTGTTTCCTTAGCATATCATCGAAAACTATCTCATAGAATATTGATATTCGTACAGTGAATTTCATGATGGAATAGGACTGAACTTTTGATTTCCAATCTAGAATCTGATACGTGGGAATAGACATGGCAATATGACAGAACAATAAAATTCGCATCGTCCTTCCGCAGCAGTCTATCTTATTCTGAAACTCTTCCCAAGGTTCTCGTCTTTGTTGCAAGCTGCAAGAACTCTAAGGCAGCCTGGCTGATCTAGTGCCTTTTGCGCCATAGCCAGGAATCAGAGGGAGACTTAGGCAGAGGTGGGAGCAAAACAACCTTCCTGCAGAGACCGAATGGCCACCCTTGGCAGTGGCAGAGCTCCTGCAATATCGAAACCCGCCTATGAAAACTTGGGAACTCTACCTGACTCAAGCTCGAACACCTCGACAACAAGTTTGTCTTCACTGAGAAGAACTCTTCGCCCCCCTTGCTCAACCCGCTCGAACAACACGAAAGACAGCTCCCAACAGAGAATAAATCTTCATCCTTTTCAACTTCTCCATCCTTCTGCTTCTCGGGACTAAAGAGCAGTTCCCCTGAAAAGCTATATGTGATCACAAACACCTTCTGCTTCGACTTCTCCATGGCTCTGCTCCTGATTGCTGACACGACAACCTAAAAAAAGAAACAATATAGTTATTTTCATAAAGACAAATACAAATTCATGCGTGTTGTTTTTTGTATGTCCATACAGGAAAACTGGAACGGTTTGAAGAAGTGGAAAGTACTTCGTGTTCATCAACATCTTCAAGTTCAGTTGTCGTGTTGGGAACATAATCATCATCCTGCTGCTGCTGGAGAGAGCTTATGTGGCCGCCGCAAGATCGACAGATGGAGAAGGCATCTTTGAGAGTTGAAACCAGGAGGAACTTGCATTTCTTTGACGGGTTTTGTGGGGGTGGCTCTTCCTGATAGAACACACCCATTTCGATTCAGAGAAAGGAATTAGACAATACACAAAAATCTAAAACTTTGGTGGTGGAAACTGATGCTTAACTTGGCTATAAAGAGGAAAGGAAGAAAGGGAGGAAGAGCGAGCACCATGGAATGTGGGGGAAGGGTAAAAGTCTCAATCTTGAGTTGATGTCCAAATTGACCTCAAAGGTTGATGGTGGCTTTGCAGCTGCTCACCTCAAAGATAGTGCTAAGAGTGTTCTTGTTGTTGGCTTAAGGGTAAAGATAAAGTTTTTAAGGGCACAAATCAGAAATTACCCACTTGAGACAAGATTCTTATTTCGTCACTTTCAATCCCCCACTTTGAAGATGAAGCCTTGTTGTGGTGAAAAGGAGACAAGACATTACACCAAACTGTGTGTGACTGGTTTTCCTTTTTCTTCCATTGCACCCTCCTTTTTTAAGGCGTTCATTACTGGAAAAACGATAACTGTCTATGAACAATCAATGTGAAAAAGAAAACTGAAAATTAAATGGGTGAGATGGAGATGGTGATGGTGCTGGTTCTTTAGCTCTAATTCTACATATCATGTTAATGCAGTCGGCAAATGCATAGTTTTAACTTATTTATAATCATTTAGTAGTTTCTCCACTACCGTCTTCTTCTTCTAGAATCATCTTTCTCTTCTTTTTCTCTAGATTTCCACAAAAACCCTCCCCATTGCGACCCGACAGCAATCTCAAATATTGTCTCGCTTCTTGACCACCACAATCTCCCTTCCTCTCGCTTTCTCTCCCTCCGCGAAGTGGATCGGTGGCAGGTGGAGATATGGAGATTGGTCGGAACACGACTGGATCTGAAGGTCCGAACCTTGAAGATGGATTACGGTGGATCCGAGCGGCTGACACCATGAGAAGGACTCTGGTTGGAAATTGGGCCAAATGGGTCGCAACTAGCACATGCAACAACATCAAGTTTTTTTTCCGGTAATTAACAACATCAAGTTTATTCCCTCCAAGAGACATTCAATTTATTTTCTTCCTTTAGACTTCCAATTCCCAATTCCCCATTTTTGGCAACGACGTTAATTTTTTTACTTCCAAGTCCCAACTCCAAGTTGATGACCGAATGCATCCACCGACTCTGAAACTTGATATTTATTAGGGTTCAGTAATATCTGGGACTCCAGGAGCTCACAATTCGATTCCATGGTCGCATGTTCAATTCAACGCCGAAGGGGTAGTTTTTCCAACGGCGAGTTATTTGATTGATGACAATGAATATGTTTTTCTTTTCCATTGAATTTTCATTTCTCTATCGGGAGATGATCTCGCAATCAAATTATGCAAAGAGATTTGTTTCAGATAGACAGGTCGGTGTAGGGATAGGAATGAAACATGGCGGAAACTTCAGAGATAGGCAATAGTTGTAACTCTAATTTGGGATTTAGATGCCAATGGTGTAAAACATAGCCAAATAGTAAGGGTACTTTTTCGAATTTCCTAAACATTAAGTTTGGGATAAAATAAATTTTGTGTGACGTAGGTGGAACTCCAAATTATGCGTTGGTTGGTTATACTACTGTCATACTTCACCAAAAAATGAAAGTAAGTTTCTATCCGTGTATGCTACTATTCATTGTTTGTGTTTTTAGGTAATTTTGAGGATTTCAGGAGAGCGAATGGAGTTTTGTATAAATCTTTCAATGACGCATGTTATGCCATGACTCATATTGAATTTTATGAGAGACCGTTCATTTTCTTTCATCTTTAAGGTTGATTATGGATGTATTATGGAAACACCTCCAATATTCAACTATATGGTGTACCATAACTATTGAAATGACAATTAGTTACAAGTATTCATTTTTCTCAATGAACAATCATACTTATTTCATAGATCACATTTCTCCTCTTCTTACCACATTATGCATAGATCGATATTACATGTATTTCATAGCATCTATCATATCCATTATTATATATCATATATTTCGAGTCTAAACTCTCCTGGCCAACCGGCCAGGCCCGGTGCTAGTTATTATAAGCATTGAAATCCCACTCCCGAAAGAGATTGTTAAGTTTGTTATGGTTCCAGACCAACTCCGAGTGTCATCAGATTCAGACGAGATATACTGAGCTCTCAGATAGTGGGCTGATGGCAAAGGGCGGGGTAGGCGGGTATTTCAATGCCTATACTCGTTCTGCACTAAGCGTGTTTTAATTCAGGTAATACTCATGCAGGTGAAGGTCGACTCATTCTTATATATATTATTTCAGAAATTGACATCACTGCACTCGAATTGTATTTGTATTTATGTACGTTTGGGGACTTTGTCATTTACAGGATTGTTTACCATTATTAACCAAAAGACATACCCATTTGTTCATCCAATACGAAATTCTGCATATATTGCAAACGGACAACCAAACCATGCCATCACAACTGAGCACTCCTTTCCCTTTTACCTGCGGATGATCATAGAAAAAAAGTCCACCCAATTTTCAAAAAAATACACTAGTCCATTGTTCATCCAAATCAAATTTCTGCACATTTTGCCAAGGCGCCAAACCATGGAAAATCTAATCAATTTGAAATTTGTCATTACCAAAGAAATGGACAAAGCAGGTTTTGCTTTCATTTAGGGTGTATTTATATATTGAATTAGATATGCGTGAATATCAGAATGTCTAGTATCTATTGATATCATAGATTGATGTACTTGTTGGATTTGTATAACTTTGTATCGTTTCAATTTTAATTTATACAAATTGCATCATATATCAAATTTATATAGTACATAGTCCATGTACATAAAATCATCTACATAAAATGAATGGTGGAATAGTTTTTCCCTCGTACACATATCTTAAAAAGGAACTAAATCATAAAAACAATGATCCAGATTTAAAATTCTAAACTAGTTCATAGCAACTTAATTAAAACTAGATTGTTAATTAATAATCTACCATTAAAACGTAACAGCCCCTGCTATCAATAATAACAAGTCATTTCCTGTTTCCATCCCATGGGATACAGAGCTCTCACCAAAAATCTCTAACATGGACGAAGAAGCAAGCAAACATCACGAGGAAAGAAGAAACACACTTCTCGTCCTCCTAAACTGCTCGCTGCTCGCCGTCGGCGCAGTTGGCGGCCAACTCCTCTCCAGAATGTACTTCCTCCACGGCGGCCACAAGCGGTGGCTCTCAGCCTTCACGGTAACCGCCGGCTTCCCAATCCTAATCCTCCCCATCGCCGTCTCCTACAAGCGCCGCCGTTTCCTCATCCCGGCCCGGCTCGCCGCCGCGAGTGGGCTTTTGGGCCTCCTATTGGGCTTCAACAGTTACCTCTACTCCTTCGGCACCGCCTACCTCCCCGTCTCCGTCGCTTCCCTCGTCGGCTCTTCCCAGCTGGCATTCACCGCCGCCTTCGCTTTCCTCATAGTGAAGCAGCGGTTCAGCCACTACACCGTGAACGCCGTCGTTTTGATGACGCTGGGCTCGGCGGTCCTCGGATTCCACATGGACGGCGACATCCCCAAGGGAGAATCGAAGGGTAAATACGCGTTGGGCTTCTTCATGACCATTGCCGCCTCTGCCACTCATGCTCTGTTCATGACTCTGCTTCAGTATACTCAGGGGAAGGCTCGTGTCCCCGTCGATTACGACGTCGTGTTGCAGGTCCAGCTCGTCATATCCATGGTTGCTACCCTCTTCTGCGCCGTCCCCATGATCATCAATGGTGACTTTCAGGTAGACTGCTGTCCATTGTGACACAATCAATTTTTGTTGTCTCCTTTTTTTTTCCCTAGTGGATTTTGTTATGCAATGGTGAATTTGTGTCCTGCAGAATCTAGCCAGGGAAGCAGCAGAATTCGGCCTCGGGGAGAAGAAGTACTACATGATTGTAGTTCTAGCAGCCATTGGACTTCAGGTTATGATAATTGGGAGCCTTGGACTGGTTCTGTGTTCTTCGTCCCTAGTGGCTGGCATCGTCACCAGTCTTCTAGTCCCGGTTCGACAAGTCTCCGCCGTGATTTTCTTGCGTGAAGGGTTTAACGCCGAGAAGGGAATGGCGTTGACGTTGTGCCTCTGGGGATTTGCTTCTCACTTATACGGACGATACAGGGCAGGGTCGGAAAAGCAAGATACAGATGATCGAAATCCGCAGCAATTCGAGCATGGAAACGGTAATAATCTTGCTTAGGAAAATGGGATTTGGACAGTAGATTGTATAACGATTTTGTCGATGTAACAGAACAATACTGAGGTGGTTCTTCTGTTACATTTGAAGTTGGCCAATGAGCTGAATAATCAAACCTCAGTTTCTGGGGAGGTATATATATATATGCAGGTAATAGTACAACAATTAGCTAGCTGCTTTTGGCCACTAAAATCCATAAACAAGAAGTTAATCACAATTGGTCTAGTGGGTAAGGGCGAATGAAAGCAGAGTTCATCTCCCAAATCTTGAGCTTCACCTTCACATTGACATCCGTGGCGTTGTTAAACAAGAAGAGCCTGGCGTCTCCATAGATGGCCTTGGTTGGATAAACTCTGGACGAGATCACTCTCCTCCCTCCCTGCCCGAAGCTCTCCACGATCGAATGATCCACCAGCACTCTCATCTGCAGCTTCTCGTCGCCCACCACCGGAATCGAGCTACCGTACACGACCTTGAACACGTCTGGTGCCAAAGATGATCTGTGTAGGAAACAGAGTTACAATTCGTCGACTAATCAAATCCTTCCGTTGGTGTACAGAAATGCGACTTTTAAGTCTATAATGGATCAAATGTGAATTTACTAAACCTGGTTTGGTCTGTACAGAAGTAAGTTGTGACGGCGTCGGCAGAGGTTTGCACTGGCCGGAAGAAAACAGAGGTGAGCTCCGACAGCGACGCATCCGCCAGAGCTAGAATCCCGAACGGTCCCAAGCTGCTTCTCTCCGCTGCGCCGCCGTCGCAACTGTTCTCCTCGTCGGTTTTCTTCCCTGATATCAGCTCCACTTCAAACTCCGCCATTATATCCAGCTGCAATGGAATCGAATTCTTCAATTAACGACCAAATCGGCGAAATCCATTAATCTTTTATGCAGTGCGACAAAATCAAACCTGCGTTGCAGAGCCTATGTGTAGCGGGACGACAGAACCAGGACCAACCAAAACGTCCTCAAAACAGTAACTCCTCAGCCTCAAGCTCTCAATCTCCTCCACCGGCCACTGCAGCAAATCCGCTCCCGTCCTGCCATCCAGCACCACCGTCCTCGGAATCGTCTGCAATTTCACCACTTCCAATTCAGTTCCCTGCATCTAAATCAACCTAACTCGGTTAAATCTGAAAAGGGTAAAAATTAATTACCTGAAGTGAAGCCCAGCCCTTTTTGAGGTCATCGAATTCAGTATCAGTCTCGTTAATCCAACCCCACAGTATC